CAACTAATGAAAAAATAGAACAACATTTAAAATCAATAAATTTTGGATTGAAATTATAAACGACACTTATTTTGAAACGAAAATTTTATTCTAGAAAGACATATAATTTGATACGGAAGAGGTATAATTTAGAGATTACGTTTTTTTATTACCATTTATTTATTCAACATTTTCATAATAACACACTTATAGGGGAGTTTTCTCAGTTATGATGCGTTTTTAGTGTTTGTATATTAAACTATTTTATTAAATTAAGTACTTAAACTTTTGATAAAATCCTACATGATAATATTTCAGTTATATATTAAAAATAGTTAATTAAAAATCAAAAATAATAACCAAACCAAATTTATTAAATATAAAAATATATAGCCATATATACATTTATCCATAACCGAATTGGATTAAACTTCTTTTTCAGCTTGGTTCAGGTTTGGACCCTACCAATTACCTGAACAAATCTTATATCTCTAGAATTCAGTAATTGAAACCAGGCTTTATACTTCACATTATTTTTATATTTAGCAAAACTGTAAAATATTTTTTCACCAATCAAACTTTATTATATATTGTTTATTTTATCAAAACCGCACTTATCAAACACATTTCAGCTTAAGACATTTTATTTCAAAAAATATTTTATGTTAATATATCATTTATATTATTTTAATATATTCTAAACCATTTTATTTTTATTATTTAATAATTATTCACTACCGCAAGACATTTTATTTCAAAAAATATTTTTATGTTAATATATCATTTATATTATTTTAATATATTCTAAACCATTTTATTTTTATTATTTAATAATTATTCACTACCGCAAATATATATTGTCACCAATCAAACAATATACCACAACACTTTTTACTTAAAACCGCAGTTGTCCCGTACCGCACTCTAATACCGCACGAACCGCAGTTGGACCGTACCGTATTTTAATTCCGCACCGCTTTTAATAGCAAATCCGCCGTCACCATTCGGACCCTTAGCTCAAGAAGAAGAGGGAAGAACCAAAAATAAAAGATTTTAAATTAAATTCTTTTTAGGAAAAACAAAAGTAAGATTTTTCATCATGAGTAGCTCTCACTCCTCACACCCAATCACCAATCTCTCTCCATCCTCGAGTGAGGGTACTCCTTTGAGGATTAAAGTTCTCATCTTTTGACTTCTCTTGTTCCCTTGAATTTGAACTAAAGAAGCTCTCTTTACTTGCAATCTGTTGAATCAGAGAAATGGGTTTCTCGAATTGGGTTTTTTCACTAGTTTCTGCAGCTACCCTTTTCGTTTCATGCTCTTCTGCTCTCACTCTTGATGGTTAGTGTATACTCACTCTCTCTCTAAAGTCTCTAGCTTTTAGAAATCTGAGATTTGATCAACTTGTTTACTAGTAATGCAATGAAGTTAGAGCTTTGAATCTTGTAGGGTTTTCTCTTTTAGAGTTGAAAAGGGGATGGAATGATACTAAGAACTCTCTAGAGAACTGGAGAGATTCAGATGAGTCTCCTTGTTCTTGGACTGGTGTCTCCTGTGATCCTCAAGACCAGAGAGTTGTTTCAATGTAACAACTTCTCTCTCTTTCTTTTGTTACATTCTCAGTCTTTAGCTTTCTTTCTTTGAATCTGCATTGTGTATTTTGATGCAGAAACTTACCTTACATGCAACTAAGAGGGATTATATCTCCTAGCATTGGCAAACTTAGCAGATTGCAGAGACTGTGAGTGATGTTTCTTTTGTAGATTTTTTTTTTTTTTTTTTTTTTTATGTTCAAGCTTCTGTCTTTAAATTAAAACTTGGTTGGAGTTATGTAGGGCACTTCATCAGAACAGTTTACATGGGACTATTCCTAATGAAATCACCAATTGCACTGAGCTCAGAGCTGTGTAAGTCATGTTTGGTCTCTAATGTCTCTACGATTTTCTGAGCTATGAACATTGATGTATCTGTTTTTGAACTTGTTTTCAGTTACTTGAGGGCTAATTATCTTCAAGGAGAGATTCCACCAAACATAGGGAACCTCACTTCTCTTACTATCTTGTAAGATTAAAAAAAAAAAATCATTTCAAAAGGATTTGTGATGTTTCATTACTTAATGATGGGTATGTTTGAGATGTTTCCAGGGATGTATCAAGCAATACACTGAAGGGTACTATTCCTTCTTCTATTAGTCGTCTTACACGTTTACGCTCCTTGTAAGTAAACCACACAACAGTCTCAGCCTTTTAAGATGTAACCGTTGAAGATTAGTCTCTTTAATCATATATATGCTCTTGAACTTTTCGTTTGATTCAGGAACATGTCTACCAACTTCTTCTCTGGAGAGATACCTGATATAGGAGTTCTCAGCAGATTTGGAGCTGATTCGTGAGTCTTACATGATCAAGAAACTTTCAGACAAAAGTCTTATGCTAATGTTTTGACTAGGTTTTGTGTCTGTATGGTTAGATTCACTGGTAACTTGGATCTTTGCGGTCGTCAAATTCACAAGCCATGTAGATCATCAATGGGGTTCCCTGTTGTTCTTCCTCATGCAGAAAGTGATGATGATGATGAATCAGGCAAGTTCTTGTTTTTAAACACACTCATTCTCTTTTTGAGGCTTAAACTTTCTATTTTTGGAATGTTCACAGATACTCCAAAGAGGTCATCACACTTGATCAAAGGAATCTTGATTGGTGCAATGTCTACAATGGCTATTGCATTCATTGTAATCTTTGTGTTCCTATGGGTTTGGATGCTCTCAAAGAAAGAAAGAACAGTAAAGAAGTACACAGAAGTCAATAAACAAAAGGAACCTTGTGAGACAAGTAAGAAGCTGATCACATTCCATGGAGATCTTCCTTACTCCTCTACTGAGCTGATTGAGAAGCTGGAGTCTCTTGAAGAAGAAGACATTGTTGGTTCAGGAGGGTTTGGGACGGTTTATAGAATGGTAATGAATGATCTTGGAACATTTGCTGTCAAGAAGATAGATAGAAGTAGACAAGGATCAGATAGGGTTTTTGAGCGAGAGGTTGAGATTTTAGGAAGTGTTAAACATATTAATCTAGTGAACCTGCGTGGTTACTGCCGCTTACCAACTTCAAGACTCCTTATCTATGATTATCTAACTGTTGGAAGCTTAGATGATCTTCTCCATGGTAAATGCACTTATACATATCTTCTCTATGGTTTAGGCCTATGATTCATATTGATGTTTTTGTATATTTTTTTTTGTTTCTTGATCTCACAAGAACGATCTCAAGAAGATGGTTTGTTGAATTGGAATGCAAGATTGAAAGTAGCCCTAGGTTCAGCGAGGGGTCTGGCGTATTTGCACCATGATTGTAGCCCTAAGATCGTTCACCGTGACATAAAATCAAGCAATATTCTGCTTAATGATAAGCTTGAGCCTAGAGTCTCGGACTTTGGTCTTGCAAAGCTTCTTGTTGACGAAGAGGCTCATGTTACCACAGTGGTAGCTGGCACTTTTGGTTATCTTGCTCCAGGTACTGTTTTTGATGAAACTTGGCTAGCAAGTAAAGTTTCTAACTTCTTGTGAAAACAGAGTATTTGCAGAATGGTAGAGCGACTGAGAAGTCTGATGTCTACAGCTTTGGAGTTCTTTTGCTTGAGCTTGTTACTGGCAAAAGACCAACAGACACAACATTTGTTACAAGAGGGTTAAACGTTGTCGGATGGGTAAGAAAATAAGCTCACATCTTGGTCTTTAATCCAACAAGAACTGTTCTGTTTTTTACTTAAAATGTTGTTTCTTTTCAGATGAACACTTTGCTGAAGGAGGATAGATTAGAGGATGTGATGGACAAGAGATGTGTCGGCGTAGATGAAGACTCTGTGGAGGCGTTGATTGAGATAGCTGCGAGGTGTACGGCTGCTAATGCGGAAGACAGGCCTGCTATGAACCAGGTGGTTCAGTTGCTTGAGCAAGAAGTAATGTCTCCTTCTTCGGCTAATGCAATTGATTACTATGATGATTCTCATTCTGATTACTGTTAGGGTTTAAAGATGGTGTAAGATTATTTAGGTGCATTCTACTTGTGCACATTTTAAGGTTTTGTAACGAAATGGAACATTTAAAGCAGAGGAGAGACTTGAGAAGCAGTGAGTGGTTATTATAAGATATTCAGCCTATTTAAAAAAAATAAAAATAAATGTAATATATCTGTCAGAAAATTTTGTATTTGTCAGTAAATTTTATTTTAATCTTATGAGAGAAAATGCATAGATATAATTAAAGAAAAATGGCTTACACTGGACAAATTTTTTATTTTGCTTTTATTTTTCAGGAGTTTTTTTAATATTATAATCTCTGAATAATGACCTTTCGTTTAATGGAAGAGTCTTCCTAGTCCATCGTCGAGCCCCATTCACCAACTAAAGGGCCAACGCTTTTGTTGCCCTATTCGCTTTGCTAGTTGCTACACGTACTTACAATTATAAAATTATTCTTCTAAGTGACCAAGAATATTTTTTTACTGTATACACGATAGACAATAGTATTTTGTATTTGATCATAAGATGATATTCATTCACATAGAGAGACCATTGATATCATTTTCCGAAGAATCAAATTTTGGAAGAATTCAATTGCTCTATAGAAAATCAAAGTAATGGACCTAATACTAATCTAATGATAATTCAATTCACATAGCAATTGGAAATTTCATAAGCCGCTTTGGACTTAAGTTTGAGATCCTATATTATGAAAACTATATATTAAGAGAAACCTATATTTTTTTTTGCATGAATTAATTGCAAACTGGTTGACAAAAAAAATTAATTGCAAACTGTACTCTACTATTATTAATAGATTTTACGACCATGACGGTGAACTTATTATTAATACAAATATATTAAAAGATCAATATAAGAAAAACAAAGCAACCATCATGCACATGATCAAGCTTAAAATTTTAGTATGATTAAAATTAGTTATATAAATTTCTGTAAGTGTTGGTTCTGATGAGTTAAGTTACTTCGTGATAATTATAGTTTAGCATATTTTAAAAATCGATCTCCATCGCTCTCGGATAGATTTGTGATTAGGTTCAAAGTATATGTTAATCTACATTATACGTATGTATAAAATATACACATATCTACTGCGTGCATATATATATATAGTGAGATGCTAATCGCTTTGTCCCTTTCCTATTGGTGAAGAGGACAAAGTAGAAGAGTATTTTAGCCTCTTCTTGTGATACTTTTAGAAATTTTTGAGCGGTCTTATCTTCTCCTCCACCTCAAGCTACTACTTAGTACTTACCATGGCCACAATACCTCCTCCGGCTAGCTTACATATTCTTAAGACGGCGGCTTTGAGATCTCCGGTAATGGTTTCAGCCGTTATGAACCGGCATTTTCTTGAGTTCTCTACTTTTAGTAGATGTTTTGAGAGTAATTTCTTGAGCCAAATGAGGAAACAAGAGGTTTTGAGACATCGTCGGCGAGTCAGCACCGTGGTGGTTGCGGCGGGAAACTTGACGGCTCCGTCGTCATGGGAATCTTGGAAGCCAGATAAGGTGGCGGTGGCGACGCCTCTATTGTTGAGTGATGTCATTTGGCCTGCAGCTGGTATGTGGTTTACTTTAAGGAAGTTTATATGCTAATGACTCATTAAGATTATTATTTGTTATGTCAAATGATGTTGAGATTAGAAGTTTCACTAATGGCCTTTTGTTCTTAAATCAGAAGAACTAAAACTGGAGATTAGGGTTATAAAAGTTGAGAACAAACAAAAATTAATTAATTAACTAATTAAAAAGTGAGATGTGGTACACATAAAAAGAATATAATTTTTAAAAAGTAATGAATAGTATTAAATTCCTGACCAAAAAGATGAGGAGAGATTAAAAAACTGGAGAGAGAGAGATGGTTGGTGTCTCTTCCTACGGCCAAATGGTCGTTTATGACCTGTCTTTTAGAGAGTGACAATTTTCTGGAATTTACCTTGAAATTAGGGTATGGTTTTTCATGATAAATCTGAAGAAATAAGCTTAAGCAAGAAATTTAAATAAATATAATTGGCTGGGGAAAAATATATACTTTAAAAGACAGAAAATAATAGTGTTTTGAGATAAATATATGCAAAGATTATGTGATTATTAATTAAAGTTTATACTTGAATCGTAATAAATATATCCAAAGATTATGTGTATAGATAGTTAAACTAATGTTTATGTGTTTTCTTTACCTATGCTGACAGATTCCTATAATTCAAAATTTCAAAGGTATGTAACTATGTATAGCTGACTTCTTCCAACAAGTATGAAATCATTTTCATATGTGTGTCAGCTAGAATTATATTTACCCATACATAACCCATCTCTGGTTTGAACTTAGTCTGACTTTCAACGAAAATCCAATTAAAAAAAAACCAGAAGATTCAACTAATTAAGTCTGTACTAGACATATACTCCCATCTACTAGGAAAAATTAGCGAATTGGTTGATGGACGAAATATTATTTTCTGAAATTACCGTATCTGTATCTATAACAAAGAGAAATATTTTTTTGAAATACTTGTTAAAACCCGATAAAATAAAAAATGGAGTTATGATATTTTTAATAAGTTATTCGTTTCTTAATTGTTAATTAATCTTATTTGTAAATAGGAGCCTTTGCGGCAATGGCAATATTGGGAAGAATTGACCAAATGTTATCTCCAAAAGGGATATCAATGTCAGTTGCATCACTTGGTGCCGTCTCCGCTATTCTTTTCACCACTCCTTCTGCTCCTACTGCTCGGGTAAACACTTCTTTGTCAAAATGCAAACACCAAAGTAAGCTTTTAACTAGGGTTTGAATGGTGTAAAATAAACGCAATCCGTGAGGAATCGTATAGTGGAAAGTAGAACGTAGTTCTATAGTATCCACAAACTAGTTTTGAAAAAGTTCCTCGAGTTTTGGTGTTGTCCTTTCACTTTTTCAAAGGAATAAAATAAAGACGTTCACTATTTTCTTTTTGACTACTGAAGATAACAAGTTCATCCTAATATTTACTTTCATTTATCAAGTCACAACCTAGGTGTGCCATCACATCATGTTAAAATAGGAAAGAGATGCCTTCTCAACATTTTGAAATAGAAACTTTGAATGACTTAACTAAGTAACTGAGGAATGCCTTTTGTTTTTGGTTTTATGTATTTTCAGAAATACAACATGTTTTTGGCTCAAATAGGTTGTGCTGCGATTGGAGTGGTGGCGTTCTCCGTCTTTGGCCCAGGCTGGCTCGCCCGGAGCGTAGCCCTCGCCGCTTCCATCGCATTTATGGTCATTACTCGAGCCAATCATCCTCCTGGTAAATACTAATGTCTCATTGTGTTTCCCAAGAATATGTTTTCTACTTTTAAAGTTTTAATAGAGCGGCCTTACTTAAATTATGTTCTCTAATTCATTTGACTAATAAACAATCCAAAATCACAGCGGCGAGCTTACCACTAATGTTCATAGATGGAGCAAAGTTCCATCACTTGAATTTTTGGTACACATTGTTCCCAGGAGCAGCTGCTTGTGTCATTCTCTGCCTTCTTGTAAGCTTTCAAACTCTTTAATTTTTCTAAATCTATTGTCAAAAAGCATACTTATATTAGTTTTTTTTTTGGTCTGCAACATTTAGTTAGTGAAGATATTAGTTTATACTAATATGATGCAATTTATTCTTTTTGCAGCAATCGATCGTATGTTACCTGAAGGAAAACATTAAATTTTGATTACTTATCACGCGACACATACGATCGAATGATTATATAATACTAGTAATAATAATGTACAAATATACATACATTGATGGGAATCCTGTGAAGAAATTTGATTCATGTGTACATTTGATTTGGACGTATGTATATAGAAATACGTTCATTCAGCATAACTCTCTGTTATTTTTTCTTCTGCTTGTTATTAGTTTTTTTTATTGTCTAAGATAATCAACATTTGACACTTTACATAAAACTAACAAATGGAATCTTTTCCACCATTAAATAAAGTTAATTTGAATATATACCTACACTTGGAAACTTAGTGGAAGAATATTTCAGTCGCGCTAGAGTGCTATACGGTGGTCAGAATGGACATAAGCTTGGATGTGTTGGTCCTGGACTGCATTGATATTGATGACAGTTCTCAATATCAATAAGAATTTCACTGTAACAACTCTTATTGCTTAGTATATAATCAAAATTAGTAATTTACCTGCACGTCCATACGAATGTTAAATTTTACATTTTCATAAGTTAATATATTTTTTTCATAACTAAAGTTATATTTTTTATACATGTCATCATATAATTAATTGAATATTTTGAAGTCTTATACTTCAGAATTGAACTCTAATTAATCAAATCAGGAAATATAGTTTTTTTGGATTAACTTGGGGGTATCCCAGGTCCATGGAGAGGCCCAGACTAATTCCCAAGGAGAGATACATACTAATAAGTGAACTAACCCCTATAAAAATTCTATTTTTTGGAGAAATAGGAACACCTAAGGTCTCAAACCTCTTTAATCTTCATACTATGTTAGTGCATGATGCAGCTATGCATTCAAACAAAAATATGATTTTTTCGATTTATTCATGAAATTTGTATATACTATTTAGCCTCTTTAATGATTTTTAAAAATACCTAACCACATTCCAAATTTAGATATATGTATTCCAAACTAATTTTCATAGTATATGAGCTTCGTTTTATAATTTCCCTATAAATAATTTATTTAATTTTTTTACTACCTAATAAGTAAACAAACTCCTATCAAAACTCTATTTTTTGGAGAAATAAGAACACCTAAGGTCTCAAACCTCTTTAACCTTCATAATATGTTAGTGCATGATGCAGCTATGCATTAAAACAAAAATATGATTTTTTCTATATTTTCATGATATTTGTAGGTTAACCACTACGAAAAGATTGAATTTTCTGGTAAATACTATATATACTATTAAGCCTCTTTAATGATTTTTAAAAATACCTAACCACATTCCAAATTTATATATATATATTCCAAAATAAGTTTCATGGTATATGAACTTCATTTGTAATTTCCCAATGAATAATTTATTTAATGTTGTTTACTACCTAATAAGTGGACTAATCCTTTTAAAAACTTTATTTTTGGAGAAATAGGAACACCTAAGGTCTCAAACCTCTTTAATCTTCATACTATGTTAGTGCATGATGCAGCTATGCATTAAAACAAAAATATGATTTTTTCTATTTTTTCATGAAATTTGTAGGTTCCCCTACGGAAAAATTGAATTTTCGGGTAAATACTATATATACTATTTAGCCTCTTTAATGATTTTTAAAAACACCTAACCACATTCCAAATTTAGATATATGTATTCCAAACTAGTTTTCATGGTATATGAGCTTAATTTATAATTTTCCAATGAACAATTTATTTAATTTTGTTTACTACCTAATAAGTGGACTAATCCTTTTAAAAAATCTATTTTTTGGAGAAATAGGAACACCTAAGGTCTCAAACCTCTTTAATCTTCATACTGTGTTAGTGCATGATGCAGATATGCATTAAAATAAAAATATGATTTTTTTCTATTTTTCATGAAATATGTAGGTTAACCCCTACAAAATAATTGAATTTTCTGGCAAATACTATTTATACTATTTAGCTTCTTTAGTTGTTTTTAAAATACGTAACCACATTTCAAATTTAGATATAAGTATTCCAAACTAATTCTCATGGTATATGAGCTTCGTTTTGTAATTTCCTAATGAAAAATGTATTTAATTTTTTTTACTACCTAATAAGTGAACTAACCCTCTATAAAAACTCTATTTTTTGGAGAAATAGAAACACCTAAGGTCTCAAACCTCTTTAACCTTTATACTATGTTAGTGCATGATGCAGATACGCATTAAAACAAAAAAAATGATTTTTTCTATTTTTTCATGATATTTGTAGGTTAACCCCTACGAAAAGATTGAATTTTCGGGTAAATACTATATATACTATTTAGCCTCTTTAATAATTTTTAAAAATACCTAACCACATTCCAAATTTAGATATATGTATTCCAAAGAAATTTTCATGGTATATGACCTCTATTTGTAATTTCCCAATGAATAATTTATTTATTTTTGTTTACTACCTAATAAGTGGACTAATCCCTATAAAACTCTATTTTTTGGAGAAATAGGAACATCTAAGGTCTCAAACCTCTTTAATCTTCATACTATGTTAGTGCATGATGCAGCTATGCATTAAAACAAAAATATGATATTTTCTATTTTTTCATGAAATTTGTAGGTTAACCCCTACGAAAAGATTGAATTTTCGGGTAAATACTATATATACTATTTAGTCTCTTTAATAATTTTTAAAAATACCTAAACACATTCCAAATTTAGATATATGGATTCCAAAATAATTTTCATGGTATATGACCTTCATTTGTAATTTCCCAATGAATAATTTATTTAGTTTTGTTTACTACCTAATAAGTTGACTAATCCCTATAAACCTCTATTTTTTGGAGAAATAGGAACACCTAAGGTCTCAAACCTCTTTAATCTTCATACTATGTTAGTGAATGATGCAGCTATGCATTAAAATAAAAATATGATTTTTTCTATTTTTTCATGAAAATTGTAGGTACCCTACGAAAAGATTGAATTTTCGGGTAAATACTATATATACTATTTAGCCTCTTTAATGATTTTTAAAAATACCTAACCACATTCCAAATTTAGATATATGTAATCCAAACTAATTTTCATGGTATATGAGCTTCGTTTTATAATTTCCCAATAAATAATTTATTTAATTTTTTTTACTACCTAATAAGTAAACTAACCCCTATCAAAACTCTATTTTTGGAGAAATAGGAACACCTAAGGTCTCAAACCTCTTTAACCTTCATACTATGTTAGTGCATGATGCAGGTATGCATTAAAACAAAAATATGATTTTTTCTATATTTTCATGATATTTGTAGGTTAACCCCTACGAAAAGATTGAATTTTCTGGTAAATACTATATATACTATTAAGCCTCTTTAATGATTTTTAAAAATACCTAACCACATTCCAAATTTAGATATAAGTATTCCAAAATAATATTCATGGTATATGACCTTCATTTGTAATTTCCCAATGAATAATTTATTTATTTTTGTTTACTACCTAATAAGTGAACTAATCCCTATAAAACTCTATTTTTGGAGAAATAGGTACACCTAAGGTATCAAACCTCTTTAATCTTCATACTATGTTAGTGCATGATGCAGCTATGCATTAAAACAAAAATATAATTTTTTCTCTTTTTCATGAAATTTGTAGGTTTACCCCCTACGAAAAGATTGAATTTTCGGGTAAATACTATATATACTATTTAGCCTCTTTAATGATTTTTAAAAATACCTAACCACATTCCAAATTTAGATATATGTATTCCAAACTAATTTTCATGGTATATGAGCTTCGTTTTATAATTTCCCAATAAATAATTTATTTAATTTTTTTTACTACCTAATAAGTAAACTAACCCCTATAAAAACTCTATTTTTTGGAGAAATAAGAACACCTAAGGTCTCAAACCTCTTTAACCTTCA